CAAGGACAAGTACCATGGACATGATCAAGTGCACACCGCGAGCGGTTCTGGTATGAAAGTTGCTCACATTGGTCATTCAATCGTCAAAACCCCTAAAAAACCTTGCATCTAAACAAAGTTCTTCATGTCCCTGAAGCCTCACAAAATCTTCTCTCTGTTCATCGTTTTACTTTAGATAATCGTGTCCTTATTGAATTTTATCCTTATTTCTTTTTGGTAAAGGATTTGGACACGAGGAGAATCCTGCTTAGAGGCAAGTGCATGGAAGGTCTCTACCCACTTATTTCTTCGTCATCATCATCAAATAAACAAGCGCTTGTCGCTGTCAAGCCTTCATCATCCAAGTGGCATAGTAGATTAGGTCATCCTTCATCAGTCATTGTTAAATTTGTTCTTAGTAAGAATAAACTTCTCTTCTCTCATGAGATTAGTGAGTCGGTTTGTGATCCGTGTCAACAGGCTAAAAGCCATCAACTCACATACCCTGTATCTACTAGCATATCTACTGCACCCTTACAACTAGTATTCTCAGATGTTTGGGGGCCAGCTCCTACTTCGGTCGGTAGATACTCATACTATGTAAGCTTTATTGATGATTATAGCAAGTTTACATGGATCTATCTTCTTAAGAAACGGTCTAAAGTGTTTCAAGTTTTCACAAACTTTAAAAATCTTGTTGAAAGAAAACTAGACACTAAGATCATTGCCATGCAAACCGACTGGGGAGGTGAATACAGGAAACTGAATTCCTTCTTCCAGCAACTTGGTATTTCTCATCATGTTGCATGTCCTCATGCGCACCAGCAGAATGGTTCTGCAGAAAGAAAACATCGTCATGTCGTTGAAGTAGGCCTAGCTCTACTCGCAAATGCATCTATGCCACTAAAATTCTGGGATGAAGCATTCTTAACTGCCACATATCTCATCAACTTACTCCCTAGCAAAGTCATTAAATTTGAGACCCCTATCACATGCCTTTTTGGCACTAGTCCAGATTACAAGTCTTTGCGTGTCTTTGGTTGTGCATGTTGGCCTAACCTACGGCCATACAACTCGCGCAAGCTTGCCTTTCGTTCCAAACGGTGTGTTTTCTTGGGGTACAGTCCCATTCACAAAGGAGTAAAATGCCTAGATGTCTCTAGTGGCAGAGTTTATATATCTCGTGATGTTGTTTTCGATGAGTCCATTCTCCCTTTTGCATCTCTTCATCCTAACGCCGGAGCCATTCTTAAGAAAGAAATCTTGCTTCTTCCCCCAAACCTTCGGAACTTTGAGCAAGGGGGCGACGATTGTACTGACCAATATGACACTTCAACCAGTCCTAGTGGTGCATCTATTCCTGTGCAGGGTCCTGGAGAAAACGCAGGAGAAAATGGTGCTCAAAATGATCAAGATTTGGCACAAAATGGCCCCATATTTCATGTGTTGGAGGAAGAAGAGGCAGGCGCAGACTACGAGGTTGATCCGGAGCAACCTGCAACACCACAGCGTCAGGCACCCTTGGATCGCGCGTCGCGATCAACCTTGGATCGCGCGCCCACCAGAGGCGAGGGCCAGCACGCCATGTCGCCAGGCAGTGGGCCGGCTCAGCGACCCACGTGCGGGTGGCCCACCACGACCGGTCTCCAGCCTGAGACGATCGGCTCGGGATCGTGGCTGCCCACGCGTGCGGATCAGGTGACAGCGACACCTACGGGATCTTCTACGTCGTGCGAGGCTGTGGCACAAGAGTCTGGCGCGAACACACCAGAGGCTACAGAATCAGGGTCCGGATCAGCTACGCAAAGTGGATCCAGAGAATCTGCATCATCTGGATCTTCTGTGACGCGGTCATCTGCTCAGCTACAGCCGGTGCCAGCCTCACGTGTCACAACTCGTCTTCAAAAAGGTATAAAAAATCCAAAAATTAGATCAGATGGTACTATACGCTATGGCATGTTATGTGTTGCAGGAGAGCCAACTAGATTGGAAGATGCACTTGGAGATCCAAGGTGGAAAAATGCAATGGATGAAGAGTACTCTGCACTCATGAAAAATAAAACGTGGCGCCTTGTACCTGAGAAGCGAGGTAAAAATGTTATTGACTGTAAGTGGGTATATAGAATCAAGAAAAAGGCAGATGGTTCGATTGACAGGTACAAGGCACGTCTAGTCGCGAAAGGTTTTAAACAGCGTTATGGGCTGGGTTATGAGGACATATTTAGTCCCGTTGTTAAAGCTGCAACCATTAGGCTTGTGTTAGCTATTGCTGTTTTCAGGGGATGGAGCTTGAGATAGCTAGACGTACAGAACGCGTTTTTGCATGGTGTTCTGGAAGAGGAGGTTTACATGTGACAACCACCTGGGTATGAAAACAAGAAAACACCCCACTATGTGTGTAAGCTTGATAAGGCTCTTTATGGCCTGAAACAGGCACCAAGAGCATGGTATTCAAGGCTAAGCTCTCACCTAAGGTGCCTTGGATTTGTTGCATCTAAGGCTGACACATCACTCTTCATCTACAATAAGGCAACCACGGTCATATTTGTTTTGATATATGTTGATGATATTATAGTTGCCAGTTCTTCATCAAGTGCTACTAATGCTTTACTTCATGACTTAAGTTCAGAGTTTGCCTTGAAAGATCTTGGTGATCTACACTTCTTCCTGGGCATTGAGGTGAAGAAGATTCCACATGGCATAGTAATGAATCAGGAGAAATATGCTACTGAGCTTCTGACTCACATGAAGATGAAGGATTGCAAGCCTTCACCTACACCATTGTCCTCTTCAGAAAAATTGTCAGCCTTTGAAGGGGAGCCTCTAAAGGAAGAAGAGATCACAAGGTACAGGAGTGCTGTGGGTGCCTTACAGTACTTAACACTGACAAGACCAGATATATCATTTGCTGTTAATAAGGTTTGTCAGTATCTACATGCACCTACTACTGTACACTGGACAGCTGTTAAAAGAATTGTACGGTATATAAAATACACTGTAAGCCTAGGACTCCAGTTTAAACGTTCCAGCTCCACTCTTGTTAGTGCCTTCTCTGATGTTGACTGGGCAGGATGCAGTGATGACAGGAGGTCAACTGGAGGATTTGCAATATTCTTTGGTCCTAACCTTATTTCTTGGAGTGCCAGAAAACAGGCTACAGTGTCAAGATCAAGTACAGAGGCTGAATATAAGTCACTAGCCAATGCAACTCCTGAGATCATTTGGGTGGAATCATTACTTAATGAGTTGGGTGTTAAGCAACACCGCATTTCATGTTTATGGTGTGATAATTTGGGAGCCACCTATCTCTCTGCTAACCCAGTGTTCCATGGAAGAACTAAACACATTGAAGTTGATTTTCATTTTGTGAGAGAAAGGGTTACAGAAAAGAAGTTGGACATAAGATTTATTCCCTCCAAAGATCAGGTAGCAGATGGCTTCACCAAGGCATTGTCAATTAAACCATTTGAGGAGTTCAAGAGAAATCTTAATATAGGATAGTTGAGATTAAGGGAGGGTGTTAGAAATATAGATAGAACTACCTATTGTAATCTCAACAAACTCTACTCTCTCTCTCTCTCTCTCTCTCTCTCTCTCTCTCTCTCTCTCTCTCTCTTAGCTTATCTCCTCCTCTCTTGTAACAACCGAATCGTGATCGATCGGTATTGCCTTGTAAGCCACGACAGGGGCTGTTTCTGTCTCATATCAATATAAACCAACGCGGCTCCTCATTGAGGAGTAGGAACGCTTCCATCTGACATACCCGATCGGTCTCAGGTCCCAATGGAGCTGAATTGAAAAAAAAATTACCCGATGAGCTTCATGAACTGATAATAGGAGTACAGTCTTGTCTTCAAAAAGAAAAGTTAATGTAGCTCTTGTTTGAATCGCAAAGATAAATAAATACAGTAACGCCTCATCAAACGGCTACGAAGCAACCAGTTGAGTAACTTACTGCAGTAAACAACTGACACCTCTGCCTGCAACGATCCGATCCGCGTGGGTGTGCATGCATGTGTCCATCCCATACGAGAGTGCATGTACGTAGTAGTGGACTAATTCAAACATTTGAAGCTCTAAGTCCTAGCCAGTGAACCAAACTGGTCATCAGTAAAAAAAATGTTTGCAGCTCTGCGCCGTGAGCCCACGAGGCGATCGGCACGGAGCGCATCACGAGGCGCTGTTGATTAGTGGCGGGCGCATTATACTAGTCTGACGAGCACGTTACTAGCCTCGATCTGGCCCTCGCTAACCTAACCTAATCGCCTCCCGCTGGCTGCTGCTGCATTGCGTAATTAGTTGCCCCCGGCGGTACCCCAGGACTGTTTGGTTTGGAACGGTAGGTGAGAAGACTCCAACGGCGTGGTCGGTGCCTGCCTGCTCGCTGGGCTGGACTTGCTGATAAATTTTTAAATTTTTTTTGATGATGCAAGTCTTTTTGTTGATGGTGGGAGAGGGGAGAGGCTCCATGGGAGGAGATCTGCGCTTTAAGAGTTGCATGCATGTGTTGCTTAGGTGGCCAGCAATCAATCAATCAAATTTTGGTATAGGACTAGGACCGGTGTCGCCAGAGCATGTAGTATATGAGAGGAGAGCGTACGTGCTTCGGCGCGTGCATGATTGTTGATCGATTGCTGGCCATTTGATTTGCTGAAGTGGTACCGCCGCTGCTGCATGTTGGTGGCCGGCCGTGGAGTGTTGTAGGTGGAAGCACTGTAGGTTTGTTGAGCCAAATTGGTACTAGTAACGCATGTGGTGTGATCACTGGTGAGTGGTGACTGGGCTAAATTAATGGCTGGCTAACGAACCCCGTTCGAAACGCCGGAATTTATTCGTTCGTTGGGACGATTCTTGGCGCCAACCTGGCTCATGGAGAACTCGCGTGTAAAATGCCCGGATCACGGCGTAGGCCCGAGACGTTTCCTGTGAAGTTCTTCAAAATCAAAATGAACACAGGTCGAATCGTCCGGCGAGAAATCGGTGGCATTATGAAATTCCAACTTGGCCATCGCATGAATCATTCACCCTGGAGACGCAGACGCGAATGGTCATGGCATCCCCGTCGTCATCCCCATGCAAAAGAAAGAAAAAAGAAGAAGAGATAAAATAAGAGAGTGCCAGCAGTAGCAGTGAAACGCGGAGCCCCACACGCTGAAACGCGGCCCTCCTCGCCGACGGACCGACGCCGCGCCAGCCAGCCGTCGTCCACGAGCCGCGTCGCCTCGTCGCAGCATCATACATGCTCCTAGCTCGTAGCAGCTCCCCCATGTGACCCCTCCCTCTCGCCCCATGTGACCCGCCCTGAATGCCACTGCCCTCACACCTCATCACCACGCTCCCCTCCCCCCGCTTGATCCCGACCTCCCTCACCTCCTTCCTCCCTCGCTCTCCTCCACCTTGCTCTTGCTTGCATCCAGCCACATTCTCCATTCTCCCCAGATCACAGCTCAACGCAGCCATGATCCGGCGCGGCATGCCGCCGCCGCTCGCGCTCCTGCTCCTGCTCGCGCTGCTCGGCGCGTTCGCCGCGGCGCAGCAGGAGGGCAACGTGCCGGAGCAGTACGCGGCGTCGCTGGCCACCCGCTTCGACGCGCCGGCGGGCTGGCCGTTCCCGAACCCGCGCCTGCGGGCGGCCTACGCGGCGCTGCAGGCCTGGAAGCAGACGGCCATCTTCTCCGACCCGGCCAACTTCACCGCCAACTGGCAGGGCCCCGACGTCTGCCGCTACAACGGCGTCTACTGCGCGCCCGCCCCCTCCGCCGCCTACCACGGCGCACCACTCACCGTCGCCGGGATCGACCTCAACCACGCCGACATCGCCGGCTACATCCCCGCCTCCCTCCCGCTGGGGCTCCCGGACCTGGCGCTGCTGCACCTCAACTCCAACCGCTTCTGCGGCGTCGTGCCCGACACCTTCCGCCGCTTGCGCCTGCTCCACGAGCTCGACCTCAGCAACAACCGCTTCGTCGGCGCCTTCCCGGAGGTGGTGCTCGCGCTGCCGTCCCTCAGGTACCTCGACCTCCGCTTCAATGACTTCGAGGGCTCCATCCCGCCGGCGCTCTTCGACCGCCCGCTCGACGCCATCTTCCTCAACTCCAACCGCCTGCGCAACCCCATCCCCGCCAACCTCGGCAACTCGCCGGCCTCCGTCGTCGTGCTCGCGCACAATCGGCTCGGCGGGTGCATCCCGCCCTCCATCGGCAGGATGGCGGACACGCTCAACGAGATCGTGCTCATCGACGACATGCTCACCGGCTGCGTCCCGCCGCAGGTGGGGCTGCTGAAGAAGGTGACGGTGTTTGATGTCAGCGGCAACCGGCTCCAGGGGGCCCTCCCCGCGGCCGTCGGCGGGATGGCGGCCGTCGAGGAGCTCGACGTCGCCGGGAACCTCTTCGAGGGCGCCGTGCCGGCCGCCGTCTGCGGCCTCGCCGGGCTCAAGAACTTCACCTACACCGACAACTTCATCACCTCGCGCCCCGGCTGCGCGCAGGCCACCGCCGACGGCGCGTGGAACTGCATCCCCGGCGCGCCCGCGCAGCGGCCGGCGGCGCAGTGCGCCGCCGCGGCCTCCCACCCGTTCGACTGCAGCAAGGCGCAATGCCAGTTCCCGGCGTACACTCCTGCCACTCCCACCACGCCCGGTGGTGGCAAGCCTTCCAGCCCGTCCTACCCGTCGCCGCCGTCAAGCACGACCACTCCGTCGTCCCACTCGCCTCCCAAGGGCTCCGGCACGCCGGCATACCCCTCGCCGCATCAGGGATCCACCACCCCGTCCTACCCGTCGCCACCGTCGAGCTCCAGCACCCCGTCATACCACTCGCCACCCCAGGGATCCACCACGCCATCGCCACCAGGCTCGACCACGCCGTCGTACCCGACGCCGCCG